CCCAACCCTCCCCCAGATGTTGGGCGCGCGGCGTGAGCTGCAGCTACTCCGGCGCCTGGGCTGGCAGTTCCGCCGTGAGTTACGGCTGAGGAGAGCCAGGGAGGAAGAGAAGAGACGCGCCGAAACAGGTAAGTGCATGCAGGGAGTTGATATTACTGTGGTCTCCGCCTGAAATGAGATCCCAGTATTTTAGTATAAGAGGAAAATGCGGGGTCTTAGGCGAACAAGATCTTAGCCGACGCACCGAGGGGATACTCCTCGGTGACTCATGGTCAGTTCCACGACCGGTAAAATGATCTCCCCTTACTCTAAAATGAACTAACGTGACCCCCTGGATGGGTTTACGACTTAATTTGAGCAAATAGTGGTCAACCTTGATGAACAGTCCCAATGGTATGAGGCATGCAATTTTTTCAGCCATCAAATCGTGAGTCTCAAGGTTTACCCCGGTCCTATTGTTTCTCCCCTGTACCGGTCCAAAATGTACAGCTTTCCATCTTTTACCGAGTTCCCCTGCCTCTGTCGTAACACACCTTTGCATTGTGGCGACACAAATTAAAAACTTCAGTCTCACTTGGGTGCAGAGACAAGAACTAGAACTGCTGCAATTGTCTGGGGGAAACAAAAGCACCGGAGGGTTCTCAATTCGATGTGTTCCCGTTTGACGCGGACTTGTAGGCCCGACCCACTTGTGATGTAAGTAAAGGGGGGGGGGGAGCTCAAATGCGAATGCGGTGTTTGGGGAAAACAAATACATGTACGTTGTCGAATTCACACTTCGGTGAGATCCTCTCTGTTAAGGGAAAAGGGGGGGGGGGGCACATATGTACCGTTTCATCGAAGATTTACAAGGAAGATGTCATCACTTTCACAGGAGTGGCTTATCTATAACGCAACGGACAGTTCAATAACCGCAAATTTTCGCTGCTTGGTTCCTCAGCTGTGCCCGTCTGGGTTTTTGTTCCGTATGTTATGATCTGAAATGGGGGATCTTAGCCAAATGTAGCCCTTCAGACAGGGATCTTTGGGATGACATTTGTGTAGTAAAGTTCCGCCACAAGTTTTAGTTGTTTTCTATTCACTTCTTTTCCCAGTTCTGTCTTGCAGACGGCTTCAAAAGAAGAGAGAAGACCAGGAAACCGCAGATGCAGACGACGAATCTAGCTCATGACGTCAGCCTCTGTGACACAGAAAATGTCTTTGGCTGGGGGCTACAATAATGTACACATCTAGAGCGCTTACTCAAAGTATTACGTTAGATCAACCTCCAAACTATGAACCAGTCTACTCCTCAGTCCTTCTCAGCAGCCCCAGAAGTTCCAGGCTCTCCACCAACGTGACAGCAACAACAACAGCAGCAGCTACAGCAACAGCAGACAGAACAACAACAACAACAACAGCAAAAACAACAACAACAACAACAACAACAACAACAGCAAAAACAACAACAACAACAACAACAACAACAACAACAACAACAGCAAAAACAACAACAACAACAACAACAACAACAACAACAACAACAACAACAACAACAACAACAACAACACAATTCCTTATAGCAAAAACAACGACCAAAGCAACAACTAAAAAGCAAAGCTAAATGTAAAAAACAAACAACAAAAGAGCAAAAGCAACAAGTAAATAGGCCTACCACGACAACAAGAAAAACGATCATGAGCACACTCACCACCATCATTTCCACAACTGCCACCATCAAACAATGTGAGCGATCCGGCAGACCTTGTCAAACAACACCTTCCTGTGTCGTTTCATAAGTAAACAGTAAATTGAATATTTAGACCGTGCACGCTTGAAAAAACCACATTAATGATTTAATTCAGATTGATGTTTCTGAAGAAGCCTGGTAGATAGGGAAGACTATATTGTGTGTGCGCGTGTGTGTGTGCGTGTGTGCGTGTGCGTGTGTGTGTGTGTGTGTGTGTGTGTGTGTGTGTGTGTGTGTGTGTGTGTG